TTTTTTTTTTTTTTTTTTTTTTTTTTTTTTTTTTTGGTACCAGGAATCAAACTCAGGATCATGTGCTTGTGAGGCAGGCACGGCACCACTGAGCTAAATCCCTGGCCCCTAATTTTAACCTTCTAATTCTTCTTCCTCTGAAATGTTATATATATATATATATATATTCCTTTCTAATTCACCGTATGAAGTAGTACAGTCCCCTTAACTTGCACTGTAGAATAAGAGAACAAAAACACAATTTAATATTTACCTGGAATTCAGTCATTTCTTCTTTCTAGGAAGGGCTAAAACCTGAGGAGACAGACCTGAAAAAGAGTAAAAAGTCATTGTGGGTTCAGAAAATTTCACCCACAAGATAAAGGTGCCCTATAGCAGAGAGATACTAGTAAGTGTAAGGATAATTAACTAGTATGATCATGTGGAGCTTAGGCATGAGGTAGATAGGTACAGGAGCACACATGTGGGAGATAGAATTTATCAATAGCTTTGTGTCATAGAATATATATAGCTTCATGAAAATAGATTCCTAAGAAAATTATGAAACTGACAAATGCTACCTTATTTTTCGTGTTTCAACTCATTTAAAAAAGAAGTGGGAATTTAATTAAAAAACTTGAAATAATTATATTTGGAGGAAGGAATGAAAAGTTAATAACTATGTTATCAGGAATTCTGATGGTAATTGGGCATGGTGACAAACACCTGTAATCCTAGAATTTGGGAGCCTGAGGCAGAGGGATTATTGCAAGTTTGAGACCAGCCTGGGCTACATACTGAGGTCAAGGCCAGCCTGAACTACACAGTGAGACCCTGTCTCCAAAAACAAAAAACAGTTCTTGGACTGAGGATTTAGCTCAGTTGTGCTACCACCTGCCTTGCAAGCACAAGGTCCTGAGTCCAATCTCCAGTACCCAAAACAAACAAACCAAAAAGCCCAGTTCTGATGGTAAGAGGGTTAAACACTTCTTTTCTTTTTATGTCAGGCTGGTTGTAACTTGAGGGTCCAATGTATTTTTGCTTTTTACCTTACAACATCTAGTTAAAAAACTGTTTTACAGGCTGCATCTACTGCTAGAATAAGGACTTTTCTTAGCAATCAAATTGTCAACATTCTAGAAAATGGTGACATCACTATGGAGGGACTTCAACCAGACATCAATGCAGAACTCAGTCTATTCAGAAAGAAAGAAAAAAAAAAGGGGGATCCAGGCTGTCAAATGGAGTGTAGGGTGAGAAACGAAAGGAATTGACTTTCAGTATCTGTACTTATGTACAGGACATGTTCAAGGTTGTGATACTGGGCTTCTTTTACAAGAATGAGGTCTACATATTTACATTTCACCAATAAGAGTGATTCAGAAGAGTGAGTCTCTTGTTGAAATCCAAAATTTCTTGAATGAAAAATATACTCAATAAGGCATGGTTGAGGTCAGGAATTATGTATTCAGTAGTGTATGAAGGTGAGTTAATTATTGAAGGAAATAATAATGTGTTTGAATCAAATTGCTTCTTTCATATAGAAAACCAAACAACTAAAAACAAGTATATCAGAATTTTTTTGGAGAGTATGGCCCCAAGAAAGGAACAATGAGAACTGTCTAGCTACAGAAATAAGATAAGGACGATTCCTAAACCCTTTTGAAATAGTTTAGACATGCAGATAAAAAGACTTACACTGGAAAAAAAACACACTGGTTAACAAATTACTGAGGCTAGTTCATTACCTCTCCACCATCAGTAAGGTTATGTGATACATTTGTTAAATCATTTATAACATTATTCCACTTGAGAATTTTATCCACCTGTAGTATAAATTCTTTAAAATTTGCATGCAGTAAAATTCAGTCTTTGTTTTGTACAGGTTAAGCTTCTGACAAATTAAATGTCATGTATCCACCACCATGGTACCATACATAATAGTTTATTAGCCCTAAATTTCTAAGGTGCTTCTCCTTTGTAGTCATGCTTCCCTCATACCCAGTCCTTGGCAGCCACTGACAAGTTTCTCATCCTTGTTTCTCCTTTTCCAGGGTGTCATTTGGATGGAATCATACAATACGTAGTTTTGGTTCTGGCTTCATTCATGTAACAAAACGCATTAAAATTTTATCCATGTTTTTGCATGAGTCAGTAGTTCATACCTTTTAATCACTGAGGCACCACACTTTATCCACTCATCTGTTGAGGCAGGAGGTGGAACCACTGAGCTAAAACCCCAGCCCCCACTCATCTGTTGAAAGACAAGATTGCCCTTCTAAAATAAAGCTGCTAAGAACATTTCTTGACTGATCTATGTGTGAACATGTCTTCAGTTTACTTGGGCAAATATTTAGATTTGGGATGGCTGGGTAACTGTATTTAAGAAACCACCAAACTGTTTTCTAAAGTTGCTGTGCCATTTTATTTTATTTTATTTTATTTTATTGGGGATGGAATTTAGGACCTTCTGTTTGTGAGGTAGGTGGCAGCACCAATGAGCTAAATCCCTGGCCCTCGTTTTATATGTAAGAACAGGAAAGTATGAGAATTACAGTTGCTCTGCACCATCAACAGCATGTGGTATTGTCAGTGTAGTAATCAGAATGCTAAAATGTGTTCACAATATTCTATTCCTCTAGTCATTAAATCAAATGCTAATGTATATAATGCTGTAAAAAGACTTTACAGATGTAATTAACATTCTGAACTTTAAAAGAGGGAGAGTAGCTGGGCATGGCAGCAACACATCTATAATGCCAGCACTCTAGGAGGCTGAGGCAGGAAGTTTAAGCACAGCCTTGGGAAGATCCTGTCTCAAAATAAATTTTTTAAAGGGGAACTGGGGATGTAGCTCAGTATGAGGCCTTGTATTCAACCACATAGTACTTAAAAAAAAAATAGGAAGAGGATGAGTATCCTGGATAACACAGGTGGGCCCAATCTAATCACATAATCACATAATTCCTTGAAACAGAGCACCTAACTTGGCTGAAATCAGAGATGTGGCATAAGGGGAAATATTAATTGGGGGGGTACTGGGGATTGAACTTGGGTCTTTGCCCTTGCGAGGCAGGTGGTGGCAATGCTGAGCTAAATCCCAGGCCCATGAATGTTTTGAAACATGAAGAAGACTCAACCCACCTATGCTGGCTTTGAGAATGATAAGCCAGTGAATACAAGCAGAATCTAGATGCTGAGAATAATCCCAGGCTCATAGATAGCAAAAAAACAAACAAACAAAAAACTGGATCTCCATATTACAGCCAAATGGAAATGATATCTCTATTAACTGGATTAAGCCTAGAGATTCCAGAGAGGAACACAACCCTGCCAACACCTTGACTGCACCCCTGTGAAAATTCAGTGAACCAGTAAAGTCATGCTGTACCCAGCCTGCTGACCTGTTGAAATTGTGAGGTAATAGTTGTTTTAAACTGCTATATTTGTGGTATTTACAAACAACAGCAATAAAAACCCAAGTTTTCATTTATCTTATATGTAATGATGTTGAGCATATTTTCATATGCTTATCTGAAGTGTCTGTTCAGATCTTCTGTCTCTTAAAAATTAGTTTGGCTTTTTTGAACGGCCAGGAATTTAGTTCAGTGGTGCCATCACCTGCCTCGCAAGCACTAGGTCCCAAGTTCAATCCCGGGTACCCAAAAAAATTAGGTTGCCTGGTGAACTGGGGGTTCTTAATATACTGTATCTTGAATACTGGATTATTGGATATGCAAATTGTGAATATTTTCTCTTTATTTATGATTTATCTTCTCA